TTTTTGTCAACCAATTTCACGTGGGTAATCTGAAATGAAACCACTTTAGTTATGAAACTCCTTTTGAGTTATTCAGGAGACCTTACTCCGTCCGCCTTCCTAACCGCCCCAGTGGTGTCACAGATTTGAAGGCCTGACACCCGGTTGCCAGACGTGGTACAGAATGTTCGATTTTACTACCGCACTCACACTTCTGCTTCTGTTTCCCCTTCTGTTGCTGCTGCCAAACCTTTATTTTTCAAATTTAAGTGAGTTCAGGTAAATTTTATTTTGGGAGCTTTGTGGCATTTTCTAACCCACTTCAGAGTTAACAGTTTGAGGATATTCTGCACTGTACTGGATCATATGGTTTTTCAAATTTTGATATGAAAAGATTCGGAAATAGTTTAAGAAATACAGCACTTGTTTAGTGTGTACTGACAGGGATTTTGGCTTGGCTTGTTCTATGAATGGTGATATATTGAAGCTACTTGAAAGGACGTCTAGCAGTTTACCGAGAATTTCAACAAGAAGAGATACAATACATTTGATCAGTTTCTAATGTAGCATTCTTTTTTTTTTTAATTGTAGGAAAATTTTTTTCAATTAACATGGTAAAACTCTCATTCCTGTTGATTTCGTAGATATGTCATTTCTTCAAAAGCCTTAATGAGGATACATTGCTTCATCGTTTTGAATCTCATTCTGCTATACCTCAAATTTTTGTCTTTGTAATTTTTAAGGAGATTTAATGTTAAGATTAGATTATATTAACATCGCTCAGTTGTACAAAGTGTTTTAAAGCAATCAAAGTGTAAAGTGACCTAAGATACTTATCAAATTGGTGATCTAGAGGGCATTTCAAAAATCACACTGAAGCAATGTGTACACAGTTAAAAGGTTTCTTAAGTAGAATATGATATGGGGAGAGCCTCGGGCTTTGGGGTCAGTCTCTTTAAATCCTGGGTGAGTGAATCTAAGTCTCACTGTCAGCCTCATCTGTTAAACTGGAGCAGGGAAAAACTTAACCTCTTATGGTTGTCCTTAGGATTCCAGTGAGGTGATCGAACATTGTCTTGAACGTTCAAGTGCTCAAGGAATGTTAATTTCCTTCCATTCAGCAAACTTTTGAGTACCTACTGTATGCCTGGCTTTGGCTGAGACCTATAAATACCAGAATGAGCAAGACTGATGGAGGTCCTGACTCTTTAGTTTCTTGCATTCCTCGGGAGTAAGTTTATGGGCAAGCTGTTGACACTTGAGAGTGAACGTATGGTTTCTGATACGGGGTTGGTAGTATTTGCCAGCTTCCATATCCAGAGTAGCAACTGAAACGTAGTAGGTGCTAGTATATATTCGTTTAGATGAATCAGAACATTGAGTAAACACAGGTCCCCAAGGATGTTCCTGCCTGCCAGTTAGTGTAAAATCAAAGTGTGGCTTGATCACATTTTCCCTTTTTTAGTGCAACTTGTTGGAAAATTTATCTTGGAAGTGGTAGTATCACTGAATTATTAAGAATACTCACTGTTAATGAGATGTTCTTGGCTTCTGAATTAAATAGACCTAGGTTTAAATCAAGTCATTGGATGTAGGAACATGAGAACACGTGCTTACTCTGTGTTTAATCCTGCGAAACAAGGACAATAATATCTGTCTCATAGGATGCCTTTTTGAGTTAAGTGAGTTAACATTTAGATAGTGCTTGGTCCATGGTAGACAGTCAATGAATATCAGTTTTCCTCTTTTATAAATCACAAAAGAAAATTTTCCACAGAATGAGGATATTTTTGATTGCTGGGGAGAGAATTCTATTCTGCAATCACTAAAAGACTTGAGTTTCTATTTTTTATTGGGGAAAACAGACCTTTAAATTTTACCTCCAGTTACTATAGAAGTCATTCAAGTTGGCAAATATTTATTAAACGATGACACTAACAATATTTGGAAAGGTGATGGCTATGTTTACCGGCGCTGTATATGAAATTTATTCTCAACTCTTCATTCATGTATCTCTTAAAATTGACAGTCCTAAATGGTAAACATCTTCTTTGTTTACAATTCTATCCTAATAGAATAACTCCTTGGTTTTATTCCCTTACCTGCCAAGTACCACATGTTCTATAGCCTCTTTTCTGGCTTTTTTTTTTTCCTTATAATTTTTCTGAAAATTTGGGCTAATTTTCATTTGAGAAAGTTTGCTTTTCTTTTGGTTGAGAGTTTTGTTCTTAACAAATCAGGTTTAAATGAAGCGGCTATTCACCATCTTAATTTTTCAGATCATTCTCATAATGAAGCAATCAAACTTTTTTTTCAAGTCTTACTTTGCAAACGGTAACCGAAGGTACCAAATGAATAAAATACTCTGGAGAAGGGTTGTGCAGGGCAAAGTAAGGTATAGAAATAACCATAGGGCCAGGCGTGGTGGCTCAAGCCTATAATCCCAGCACTTTGGGAGGCCGAGGCTGGAGGATCACGAGGTCAAGAGATCAAGACCATCCTCGCCAACATGGTGAAACCTCGTCTCTACTAAAAATACAAAAATTAGCCAGGTGTGGTGGCATGCGCCTGTGGTCCCAGCTACTCAGGAGGCTGAGGCGGAAAAATCGCTTGAACCCAGGAGGCAGAGGTTGCAGCAAGCCAAGATTGTGCCACTGCACTCCATCCTGGTGACAGAGCAAGATTCCATCTCAAAAAAAAGAAAGAGAAGCATAATACAAAATAAGAAATGTTGCTTCTCAGAAAGAGTAAATTGATAGAAGACGACTTTACAGTAGTCCAACAAGAGATAATAAATTATGCTAGATAGATTACAGTGGAAATAAGAAAGAATTTGGGCAGTACTGTGAAATTTAATAGGGTGCTTTTGGCAATTAGGTATAAGGAGATAAGAAAGGAGGTGTCAGCGTTGTTGCATGATTTGAACCTGAGTAAACCAGTTGTAGGGATGTTTTTGACAAAAGTATTTCAATTAGTTGAGTAAAATTTTTAATATTCCTCTGGTTCGTTTTCTTCTACAGTCATGGTTCTTTTCATCCTCTCAATTAGTAGGCCACTTCTAGGCTACGCATTCAGTAAATCGTTCAGCTCATATGGACAAAAGCACATGAACATTGCTAAGGGAACCTTTTGGAGCTCTGTCATTGTAACTTAATCGTCTACAAGCCCCTTCTGACCCTAGAAATAGAAAGGAATAGTGCATGTTTTGCCTTTCCTTAGTAGAAGGAACTGGCAGTGATGACTACACAGAGCAATCAGAATCAGATACTATGAGAGTTAAGTATGTTTTTCTAGCTTTCTGATTTTGTTTTATTATTATTTTTTATGTGTTTGTTTGGAACTTTTGTATTGGAGTGTAGCATACAAACAGTACATACAGTCAAGTATGTGGTATTACTACCCAGATTGAGATATTAGATCTTAGCTCTCTAATGCTTCAGTATGCCCTATCAGAGACAACTATTATTTTTTTACTATATAATTTTTAACCCATTCAGTGTAATATTTTATTACGTGAAAAACTACATTATGTGCTTTTTTCAAGACTTTAGGAGGTGATTGCTTATATCTAGTAATTAAAAATAAAACTGAGTGCTCCCAGCTTGAATCCCCATGAAATGCATTTTTAGAAAGCATGGGCTGGGCATGATGGCTCACACCTGTAATCCCAGCACTTTGGGAGGTGGAGGCAGGCAGATAACTTGAGGCTAGGAGTTCGAGACCAGCCTAGCCAACATGGCAAAAACCCATCCCTATTAAAAATGAAAAAAATAGCAGGTGTGGTGGCATGTGCCAGTAGTCCCAGAGACACAGCCAGACTGTGTCTCAAAAAAAAAAAAAAAAAAGAAAGTATGTTACAGTACAGGGATGGTGTATTTATCCAAAATGATTTTACTCCTTATGTTTAAAAATGTTATTGCTTATGTAATGCTCATGTAAGGTAATTTAAAAAAAAAAACTAATCAGCATTTCAGTTTTAAGGAATATATAGCTGTCCCTTTAATGTGGTCATATGATAATTATTACTAGCGTTAGGTTTTATCCTTTTTAAAGTAAGTATGTGTAGAACTGAAGTCCAAATATACTGCTTATGCTTTTTTATTTTGGAAAAATATCAAATTATTATATGTTTTTTCTTTTTGTTTTAAGAAATCAGTACTCTAAATAATTGTATTAATCAAGTGTTGTGATTTTTTCTAAAGGTTTTACTAATGGATTGAGAGGCCAATCTGTTTTAGTTGTGATTTTTTATTAGCTGGTTGTTTCACCTTGAGCAGAACCGTTAACTTCAGTGTATCTTAGTTTCTTCATTTAAAAAATTTAAGAAGTTGGATGACATATATTCTCCAGCTGTTCCAATGACAGGAATCATGATTCTAAATACTTAATAATTCTCCTCCTTTGACAAAGAAAAGTCAAGGAAAAGCTAAAACATAAGATTTCATGATCAGAAACGTCATTCTAGTAAGTGTATGCACAAGTGCACATACATGTGTGTTTGCCTTTGTATTTCTTATGACTTGATTTAACATGTGGTCTATTCTACCTCTCAACAGTGGAAAAATGACTGTCTCTCATGGATTAACAGATTTTTTTCTCTCTTTTGTATTTATTTTGAGACTCTTAAGAGTATTGTTGTAGTTACTTAAGTATTCAACTTTAACTTGAGCCAAAACTCATCTTAAGAAATTTTTTAAATTAAATAGTGATTATTAGGGTAAATATATGCAATACAAATATAGTATAGGTGACTAAAATGTGTAAGAAAAATTTGGAAATAACCGTGTTTCAAAAGGCTACCAAGGCTGGGCATGGTGGCCCACACCTGCAATTTCAGTACTTTGGGAGGCCAAGGGGGTGGATCACTTGAGGTCAGGTGTTCGAGATTAGCCTGGCCAACATGGTGAAACACTGTCTCTACTAAAAATACAAAAATTAGTGAGTGTGTCTTCTTAAATTTTCTAAATGAAGTAACATTTCATCTGTAGTCTCAGCTACTCGGGAGGCTGAGGCAGGAGAATCGCTTGAACCTGGGAGACAGAGGTTGCAGTGAGCGGAGATCACACCACGACACTCCAGCCTGGGCAGCAGAGCAAGACTGTGTCTCAAAAAAAAAGGCTACCAAAACAATACCAGTTTTACCATTTTTAGAATCTTTATTCCTATCACTGCCATGGCTTTAGTTTTCAATTCCTATAGCATCTCTTTCGTAAAGACATGTATCTTGTTATTTAATCATAGGGAGGCAATATGAGTGTGATCTTTAAGGACTCTAAAACACTGCAACCAGACTACCTGAGTTAAATTCCACTTCTATAACTTATCAGTTCTTTGTCTTTGGGCAGCTTGCTTAACCCCTCAGTGTCTTAGTTTTCTTATCTGAAGTAGGGACAAAATAGTACTTGCTTCAGGTCCTTCCCAGGGTTGTTGTGAGCATTAAATGAGTTATTACATGTTAATCACTAAGAAGAATGCTTTTTATATATTAATAGTAAGAGACAGATATTACAGTATATTGAAATACTATTGTGAAATCACATTTCTGTTCCTAGAGAAGTTCTGAAGTATGTTTCTTATCACTAATTGTCTTAGTTTCCTAATGGAAGTTGGCTCTCCAGAAAGTAACAGATATCAGTTATCTTGTATCAGATAATTGATACAAGATAATCATGGTGTTGACTTTTTTAATAATATTCTAACCAGAATATGAACAATATTCTAATATAAGTGACATAGTATTGTTCAAAAATGTCTTTGTGTAGATTGTTTTAACAGCTCTTTCGAGCTATAATTGAAATGCTATGAATTGCGTATAAAGTATATAATTTGATTAGTTTTGATTAATATATATACACTCACCTATAAAACCATCACCACAGTTGAGACAGTGAGTATATCCATTACCTTCAAAAGTTTCCTCATGCCCCTCAGTGACTCCTCTCTTCCCCATTATGAGGCACTGCTGATATTTTCTGTCACCATATATTTGTTTATAATTTCTGAAGCAAGCTTGTCCAATCTGTGGCCTGTGAGCCTCATGCAGCCCATGATGGCTTTGAATGCAGGCCAACATAAATTAGTAAACTTTCTTAAAACATTATGAGATTTTTTTTTGTGATTTGTTTTAAGCTTATCAGCTCTCGTTAGTGTTAGTGTATTTTATGTGTGGCCCAAGACAATTCTTCCAGTGTGGCACAGGGAAGCCAAAAGATTGGACACCCCTGTTCCAGAGTTTAAAAAATACTGTATAAGGAATCATACAGTGTGTACTTTTTTGGTGGTCTGACTCCTTTCATTCAGCATAATTATTCTGAGATATATCCATGCTATTACTTGTAACAATAGGTAATTCCTTTTTATTCCTGAGAAGTATTCTTTTGTATGTACATACTACAATTTGTTTACCCATTCACCTGTTAATATACATTTGTGTTGTTTCCAGTTTGGAGCTATTAAATAAAAATAAAGCTGCTATTCAAATATAAGTCCTTATATGGCTATATGATTTTCTTTATCTTGGGTAAATAACTAGGAGTAGAATGGCTGGGTAATATGGTTGATGCTTGCTTAACTTTGTAAGAAATTGCCAAACTGTTTTTCAAAGTGATTGTACATTTTACATTGCCACTACCAATGTATAAGAGTGCCAGGTGTTCCAGATCCTCGCCAATACTTGGTGTGGTCATTATTTTTAGTTTGAAGCATTCTAATAGATAATGTAACAATTTCTCACTGTGGCTTTAATTTGCATTTTCCTACTGATTAAAGATGTTGACCATCATTTAATGTACTTATTTACCATTTATATGTTCTTTGATGAAATATCTAGTTAGACCTTTTGCTCATTTTTAAATTGAGTTTTTAAAAAAATTATTGAGTTTTGAGAGGTTCTTATATATTCTCAAGCCCTTTATCAGATATATGCTTTGCAAGCATAATAGTATTTTTGAATTGTAGTTTTTAATTTTGATATAGTCTAGTTAACCAATTTTTTCTTTTATGGATTATGCTTTTTTTTCTATCTAAAAAATTTTGTCCTAATCCAGGGTCACAAAGAGTTTTCTTTTTTCTTTTTTTTTTTTCTTACAAGTTTTGTAGTTTCAGACTACATTTAGGTCTATGATCTATTTTTAGTTACTTGTAACTGGTGCCAGATATGTATTGAAGGTTTTTGTTTTGATTTTTTCCATATGGATATCCAGTTTTACCAGAACTTTTCTTAATAACTGTTACTTTCTCTCTGAATTACCTTTGCATCTTTATCAGATTTCAGTTGTTTGTATGTATGTAGGTCTAGTCCTATACTTTCCATTGATCTATATGTGTATCTTGATTCTAATACTACACAGTTTTGATTACTGAAGCATAATAACAAGTCTTGAAACCAGATAGTCCTAGCTATTTTGCGTTGTTCTTTTTCAAAGTTCTTTTGGCTATTATATAGGTTCTTTGCATTTCCATATGAATTTTAGAAATTAGCTTGTTAAGTATTACAGAAAAAAGCTGCCAAGATTTTGGTTGAAATTGCATGGAATCTATAGCTCATTTTAGGAAATTTTGATAATAAAAGCCTTCTATCTCTTAAAAAGTGTTTTTAAATTAATAGAGGTCTTTTAAATATCTCAGTGATAGTTTTCAGTAATCAAGTCTTTAGTTAGATTTGCCTTCGAGTATCATATTTTTATACCTATATAAATGTTATTTTAACATTTCAATTTCTTGTTGATTGTTGTTAACATGTAAAAATACAATTAATGGTAGATCCTGTTGAATTTTCCACATAGACTAACACACTTTTATTTTTTCCTTTCCAATCTGGATGCCTTTTCTTTTCTGTTTTTTTTTTTCTTTTCTTTTCTTTTCTTCCTTTTTTTTTTTTTTTTTTTTTGCTGGATTGCTCTGGCCAGAACCTCCACTATGATGTTGACTAAAAGAAGAAAAAGCAAACATGCTTGTGTTGTTCGTGGTCTTAGGGAAAAAGTATCTGCTTTTTTTCCACCATTAAATCTCATGTTACTGTAGGTTTTTCATAGATGTTCTTGATCTAGTTGAGAAAGTTCCCTTATACTTTGCTGCATTTTTTTTTCTAAATAAGAATGAACGTTTTGTCAAAGGCTTTTTCTGTCTCTGTTGATAATGTTTATATGGTTTTTCTTTTTTAGTTTGCTAATGTAGTGAATGACATTTGATTTTTAAATGTTAAACCAATCCAACATTTGCAAACTAAGCGCCAGTTTTTTCACAATGTAGTATCCATTTATATATTGCTGGATTTAATTTACTAATATTTTGCTAATGAGATTTGTATCTAGATTCATAGAATATTAGTAGTTTTCTAGTAAAATCTTTGGATTAGTATCAGTGTAATACTGGCCTCAAATAATGGGTTGGGGAAATACTCCTTCAGTTTTTTGGCAGTTTGTATAGAATTGGTATTATTCCTTCCTAAGTGTTTTGTAGAATTTACCAGTGAAGCCATCTGTGCCTTGGAGATTTTTATAACTACAAATTCATTTCTTTAATAAATATACAGATTTTCAGGTTGTTGTTCTTGTGCTTTCGTAATTTGTCTCTTTCAGGGAAGTTGTCCATTTCATCTCACTTGTCAAGTAAATTTGGGCACAAAGGTATTAGTAATAGTTCTCTAGTATCCTTTTAAAAATCAGCTGACTAATAATGTCAAACCTCTTGTTCATGATATTGACATAATTCTGTTATTAAGGACACGTTTTAGATTATGTACTTTTTATTGAGTGACCCTTTTATCGCTGTGAAATGACCACTTTTATACCTGGTAATATTAGTTTCACTATAATCTGTCTAACATTGAAATAGTCACTTCAACTTTCTTGTGATTAGTGCTAGCATAGTATATTTTTTCCTATTCTTTTACTTTTAACCTATTTGTGTCCTTTTATTGAAATGCTTTTCTTGGTGGCAGGATGGAGGGGGGGTCTTCCTTTCTTATCCAATCGAACAATTTCTGCCTTTCTATTGGAATACTACACCATTTGCATTATTGAGATTATTGATATGGTTAGATTCAGGTCTGTCATCTTATTTGTTTTGACTTGTCCCATCTCTTATTTGTTCCCTTTTCTTTGTTTCCTGCTGCCTTTTCAAATGAGTAATTTTTATCTCCTTCTTGTTTTATTGGCTATGACCAGCCCTTGCCCTTCAGAATATATGATTTAATAGACTTACTAGAGGTAGTCCCAGGTATTGGCATTTCTTTAATAGATGCCCAGATTTGTGAACCACTGGACTAAATGAGCTCCATGGTAACTTTCAACTTAATAGCTGTGTGACTTTGGTCTAGTTATTTGACCTCTCTTAATTCAATTTCCTCATCTATAAAATGGATATAAGAAAATATATTCGTCTACAAGTAAAAATATTTAAAATATTTTAAATAGTATTATGTTCATGTGGTTCAAACTTTAAAAGGTACACAAAGATTTAATATATACTATTTTATACTTTTTTGATTTTTTTGAATTATAAATTTTTGTATTAATAGATTTAGGTAAAATTATTTTCAAAAACCACTTGGAATGAAGAGTTTTTTCTTTATAGCCATTTAAAACTCAAAACCTGGTTTTTGAATTGTTAGTATGATTTACGTTATAATTTTAAAATTTACAGTGTTATAGTATCTAGAGAAAAATAAATATTTTAGATTTTTCTTAGTGCATAGTAGGACTTTTCAGGACAGGAGTATGACTTTTCAAATCAATTTAATGCATCTTTTTGTTTTGTGCTTTTTCCACAGGTTTTGATTCTCATCATGGCCATCACCCAGTTTCGGTTATTTAAAGTTTGTACTTGCCTAGCAACAGTATTCTCGTTCCTAAAGAGGTTAATATGCAGGTAAATAAGTTTTATGTTCAAACTGATCTGTTTATCTCCTCACTGGTTTTGGATACCTTCAAAACTTCAGATTTCGTGGACAGGACATACTATATTTAAGTTGAATATCTTGATTGCAGTATTTATTCATTAATTCCTAGTCGTCTTAAAATACTTTTCCTCCACTTCAGATTTAGAAAGTAGAGGTTCAGTTGTTTTTGTTCATTCAAATTTCTTACACCTTTCACTAAAATTACTTGCATAATACTATTTAGAAATAGACCAACTTTCCTTATTATAATCATCACAGAACTTTGATATATTTAATTATTTCATTATGAGAATGTTTTAAAGTCATTAGGTGAAATTAGGAATAGGTATTTCTGTCTATACTACAATAGTGTTGTTTTTATATTTAAAAAAAAAAGAAATCCTAAAAAAAACAACAAAAATGTATTCTGTCTGTTTAAGTAACATTCCAGAATAGGCATTTAGTCAAGGGCTGGTAAGTCATTTGCTTTAGGACATCAACTGTAAACTTCAGTTCCTTCTGTTTTGTCACATGATCATACTCAAGAGCTATGATTTGTAAAATGTGTGCTGAGGCACCTCAGGGCTTTACATGAAATTCACAGGGATGCCATAGAATATTTTAAATTTTCCAGTGAAACATAGTGATAGCATCTATTGAACACTTCAACTCAAAGTAGTTCACATTTGCAATATTAAATCCTGCAGTATTTTTGTATGATGATGATCTTGAATATTTGAGATAAGTTTTTGTTTACTTACATTTTTGGTGACATCTCTGCAAAGCCAGGATTTTAGGTTGTAATTAAAAGCAAGTACTGCACCAAAATTAATGTAGAAACAAAAACAAGAATAATGGTCTCCTCTCTTATTCTAAGGCTTAAGAAACTGTACAGGGTTCAATAGGCACACATTTTATTAATAAGTACAGTGATTGTGGTTATTTTAGAATAAAATAAAAACATTGCTTTCTCTTTAAATATGTATTTTTTACAGTGGCTACTAAGCAGTTAGGAGATACATGAGTATTAAGTTTTTTGGGCTACCTTATTCAATGGAATTGTGAGGTGTTTCTTTTGGCCTAAGAGTCCTTTGAAGGAGGGTGTAGTAAAAGAGGAAATGGACAGCAATCAGTTCTTTTTTTTTTTTTTATTTTTATAGACATGATTTAGAAGTTGCACACAACAATTTTGTCACTGCCTGCTTTCCAGAGCTTAGTCATATGGCCCCCTAGCTGCAAGGAAGGATGGGAACTACAGTCTCTGGCTAAATGGCCATTTGATAGCTGCTAAAACTCTTGTGACTTAAGTGCCATTGAATTTACTGCTAGAAGTAGAGTGGTCTGGGATTAAAAAACAAAAAATGTCCAGGGTATTGCAAGAGAGTAAGTGGGTGAAATAGAGTAGAGATGATCACTGGAACAGGAGAAGTCAAGAAAGAAATGGAAAATTTAAGTAATTGACTTGAAATCACCCAAGAGGATAGGATTTGGGAAGTAGAAAAAAATAATGAACTAAGTGTTCAAATTACCAAAGAATGAGAAGGATAATGGCCAGAAATTCACCAGATAAAGCAAGATTAAAAATGAGTATTAATTGCCAGAAGGCAGGAAGTTAAAAGAAGTGTTGTGTTAACAGTGGTGCTGCATTATAGATGTTTTCTTTTTGTACTTCTATTTTTTAAAATATTGGTTAAATATAGATTACTTTTAGGGTAAGAAATTTTGTTGATTTTAAAAATATTAAGGACATTCCTATTGTCACTATAAATTTCTATTGTAAATATATATATATATTCAGAATTGATTGTATGTTCAGTTTTAAAGAAAACTGACCCTATGTTAGGATAAGCTTCTCTTTGGTGTCTGAAGGACCCTTAGGTCATGTATTTTAAAATATCAGGCTTGACCAGGCATGATAACTCACACCTATAATCCCAATGCCTTGGGAGGCCAAGGTGGGAGGATAGCTTGAGGCCAGGAGTTCAAGACCAGCCTGAGCAACACAGCAAGACCCCATCTCTACCAAAATATAAAACAGGCTATTTCATAAATTTCATAAGAGACTATATTATGTTTCTATTAACTCTTTAACCAAATGTAGTTTCCAGTGTGTAATAAAAATACCTGATTTTATCAATTAGTTCTTAGTCAATGCCTTATGGATTATTTGAAGTGCAGTAAATGACTAATCATCTCCACTACCTGCCGTTTTTTGTATGTTTTGCTATAAAGCAGGCACACACTGTCTAGGAGTTTTAAATATGTCTCGTAATTAAATCCAAACAACCCATCAAAACTAGGTTTGAATACCTGCATTTTATAGATGAGCCTGTTGAGGCTGAGAAGTAGATAATTGTAACTAGACACAATAGAAGTAACATTGAAAACTGTAGTTTACACAGATTCCACAGCCTATGTTCTTAACAACTCAGTTATAGTATATCCTGTTTAATGTGGTGCTTTTCCTACTAATCCTTAAAACCAAGTTACCGTTTGGTTCAAACCAGTAATTTTTAAACTTCTTAATAGTTAATCTTATCAGGAAACACCATGTGTAAAACATAAAAGCCAACCTACCCTGTTTAAAACAGCAAAGGTGGCCCAGAACTTTACCCACAGAACCCATTGCACTCCAAGGAGCATGCTCTGAAACCACCTTGCATTTTTGTTTTTGACTTTATATTCCTCCCGAGTTTATTTGTTAATTCTGAATTCTAAGACAAAAAGGAGTTATGCTGTTCTGTCCAAGATTTAAAAAATATTCACAAAATGTCTGATTCATGACTTTTTTTTAATCATAAATTAATAAGTAACTCTAATTATTAAAATCAATAAAATTACTATACATAGTGCTTTTACTTTGCTTGTTTTGGTAGTTCTTGAAATAAATTATTTCATTTTTGTTTCAGATCTGGCAGAGGACGGAAATTAAGTGGAGACCAAATAACTTTGCCAACTACAGTTGATTATTCATCAGTTCCTAAGCAGGTAGTTTGTTTTTTTTCTTTTTTGGAAAGATTAAATAAGTGTCTGTTCCAGAACAATATTTTTAAAACTGGATTGCAAATCATTAGTAGACTATAAAATTAGTTTGATTTTTATTGCTGTTGCTAAATTTTTCTCGTCCCAAAATTCTATTTGGTTCTTCGTTTTATCTTCTGTTTTTTTGCTGACATTTTCTATTTTGTTTTCATTGGTTTCAAGTTTTTCCTATTACTTGTTGGAACATTTTTATAGTAGCTGTTTTAAAGCCTTAGATAATTCCAACATATCATTTTGGGATTGGTATCTGTTGATTAACTTGCCATGTGAATTGAGATATATTGATTTTTATATGCTGAATAATTCTGGGTTGTTTCATAAACATTTTGAATATTATGTTTTGAGACTTTGTCTTATTTAAATCCTATGGAGAAGCTTGGTATTTTTTATCAATCAATCTGGTTAGACCTAGATGAAAAGTTCCAGTTCTTCTTTTGTGGGTTTTAATGTCAGTTCAGTTTTCAGAGCATTTGCTTTTGTTTTACTTTGTTTTTTGTTTTTTAATGGACAGAATGGAGTAAATAGAATATATCAGAATGTCTAGTATTTTTTGAACTTTTGATCTGGTTTTGATATGTGATATAAAATGTATATTTTCCTGTGGGTCAAAAAAGTGTGAAAAACAGTGTTTTAGAAAGCCCATTTTTCTAATAAATCATCAATGAGATCTTCATTAAGTTACCCCTTTGTGGCTGATAATGTTGATCAATTAAATTTAGACAGATGTTGAAGAGTGGACTTCGTGGGATGAAGATGCACCCACAAGTGTAAAGATCGAAGGAGGGAATGGGAATGTGGCAACACAACAAAACGCTTTGGAACAACTGGAACCTGACTATTTTAAGGACATGACACCAACTATTAGGAAAACTCAGAAAGTATGTTAAAGATTTATGCTTTTGAAGATTAAATTACTTTTCAGATTCCTATAGTTAAAATTAGATGATATAATTCATATTTATTAGAAAGCATATTTCTAATTATCAATTGTTTGTTTTTTGTCATGTTAAGAATTTTATGTGCTCAAGTGATCTAGACATAGTTCTTTAAGCTGTACCCCAAGTCTTTTAAAATTATATATATACTTGTATTGAAATCCTACTATAGGTCAGATTCTAGACTCCAATCTCTGCCAAGGAGACTAAGGTGAATTGGATTAGAATTCTAACAAGTTCATACTTTAGTAATACCTACAAACTGATAAACAGATTTTATTGTTTGTAACCATTATAAAACTGATGCAGGACCCTGAGAACTTAAGAGTAATTGTGAGTTTGTATTAGTCATCCATACATTATTTAATCCCTTTTGAAGTGAATATGGAAGATCACCTAGAGATACAGGGAATTAACGAAAAAACCAAAATGCTTGAGTATTTTCCTATTTATCAAAATATTACATGTACTTTTTTTAAATCAAAAAACGTAGAAGGGATGACTTCCGATCCTTCTCTTTTCTTAGCCGGTTCTACTTCCCAGAAGCAGCCACTCAGTAATTTTCTGTTTGGATTTCTTCTAGTGTTTGTCATCATATCTATCTATAATATGGTTATATTGCCATTTCTTGTTTACCAGTAACAGATATTGTCCATTGACATTCATACTATGGTAAAGGAAGACTTACTTCATACTACCCTTCCTGCTCTTCTTTCTCCTTTATTCCAGTCTACCTCATTAGTCACTCTGCTATATCAGAAAAACACACTTAAAGCTCACTTTCTTGTTCAAACATAGAAAATATTTATATTATATATCTTACGTATAGATGGATAGATAGATGCACTTTTTAAAATTAAGACATTATTTATTTCACGTTTTCCAATATAGTTGTTCTTCACCTTTTTCCTCTCAGCTGTTTCAGCTGTACATTTATATTTACATTGTCTAGGTTGATAACATTTACATTCTTTTTCGTTGAGTTGTCCAAATGTCTCAATGCTAAAACACATTAAATTGTATATTTTTAAAGGATCCTTTATGTGAGTTTCTTAGTAGCTGAAGTTTCTTATTGTGTAAGTATAACGCTGCTTTCAGTAGGGACCTAGTAAATTACTATAGTGCCTTATTAAATTAATTAGAGTGAAAATGCTTTGAATAAGGCTACCAACGTATCATAGAAGTGTATTTGATGCCACTGGCCTGAATGAATTAATGTATTCATAGATATTTCATATGCTGAGAGAGTTATTTATACTACTGACAGGATATGATACCTGTTCTTATTTAATATAGTAACTAAAAGTGATTAATTATATTTTGGGGTCTGAGGAAAATAAGAGAGAAAGAAAATGAGACTATATTAATTTTTAAAAGTGAAATACAGTTTTTTTTTAGTATGTAACTGATTTGTGCAACAATTGCCTGAGTAATTGGTATTAACAGACACTTTTTTTTTTAGTTTTTACATTGTAAATTTTAAAAATAAATATTTTAAGCAATTACAAAATGTTTTGGTTGCCTGTTTTAATGTAGTGATTTGTAAAATATCCCTATAATTCTCTTTCAATTAATCTTGCAGATTGTTATTAAGAAGAGAGAACCACTGAATTTTGGCATTCCAGATGGGAACACAGGTTTTTCTAGTAGATTAGCAGCTACACAAGATATGCCTTTTATTCATCAGTCTGTAAGTATGTTAATGGTTCTAGGGAAAGGCTTGGTTTTGTTTGTTTTCTTTAAAGCAGAGGAATAAAATCTAAATGAGTTTAACATAGTATTTATATTTTTGTAACTTTAAAACAGGTTTAGCAGTTCGAGAGAAGTTAATCTGGAGTTTTACCCATCCTAACTTTTTATAAGATTGTGAATTACATTAGATACTAAGATCAAGGTCTCATTGTACACATGAAAGAGAGAGGCACAATGTTATTTAAAAATATAAACATCAGAGAGATTACCATTAAAATGAGAGATTAATCTTAATGATAGATTATTTTAAAGTAAGTTATGAATTGTTTTCTTCATAGAATGTATTTTCATTTAAAGTATGACTTAATTTTAAATGGTTTGACTTAAATGAAACTTTTTAAAGGGAAAATTTTGGAAAGAAGTAGACAGCTGAGGTTCTCAATCTTGGGAGCATATCAGAATCAGCTTTGGAAGTTTTTTAAAAGCACTGGTGTCTAGACTGCTCCCTATCTAAGCTTTAAGCATGCTTTAGTTCATTGATTATATTATCTATTGTTGTGTAACAACTCCAAATTTAGTGACTTGAAATAATAAACATAATGTCACACAGTTTCTGTGGATTGGGAATCCAGGTGACTAAACTGGGTGGTTCTAGCTCAGACTTTCTCATGTGTTTGTAGACAAGTTATTGGGTTGGGGCTACAATCATCTTAAGGCCTGACTGTGGTCAAAGGATTCATTTCAAAGACAGCTCACTTCCACACCTGACCAATTAATGTCATTTGTTTGCACAAAGCCTCAGTTCCTTGCTGTGCGCCTCTCCAAGGAGCTACTTGAATTTCTTTCTGACATAACTGCTGATTTTCCCAGTAAGTTATAAAAGAGAGAGTGAGATTACTTGCTCAAGGTGACACCACATTGCCATTTTGTGATATGGTTTTATAAGTGATAACACTGTCACTTTCACGTTTCTTTATTAGAAGCCGAATAAAATGATAAAGTGATACACTGTCACTTTCACGTTATTTTATTAGAAGCCAAAGTTACTAAATCCGACCCACACGCAAGCCTCCACCTCTTGAAGGAAGGAGTGTCTAAGAATTTGTGGACATATTTTTAACTCATATCTATCAATCTATATATTTTATTTATTTGTTTAAACTGCACAGGTGCTTCTGAGGTCCCTCTCCCCAGCGGACCCATGTATATGTATGTTTTTAATTCATTGATCAGCAAACACTTTTTACTAAAGCCAGGCCCTGTGGCATTAGTTAAAGGATCTTTGCCTCAGAAAAATGCATTCTAGTAGGGAAGACGTGATACTAAATAAATGATCACACACATCAATATAATTACAAACTTTGACAATTCCTATGCAGTTACATGATGCCATGAACACATAACACCACAGATACTTCTCTGAATAACATAGCATAATGTTTAATTTTTTATTTTATATATCTCAAAATTAAACTTTATTCATATATCTGATCTATATCGGTAAAGTGCTTCAATCCTACTCACTGAATTAGCAATATTTGCCACCTAACTATAATTATAATACTAACATAGCCCATTGTAAAGCTGTAAATATACAACTACTTACAGAGTTGAGAAGGGGTAAATAGGTTAGATGGAGAATGTCTGCAGTGCTCTTTCCGCATATTTTCCTCCCAAATGACAGAATAAAGGGGCATTGCATAGGAGTGGATGGTAACCTCCTCTTTGTTTTCTTTCTAATTTTTTTAATTATACTTTAGGTTCTGGGGTACATGTGCAGATCATGCAGGATTGTGGCATAGTTACATTCATGGCAAGGTGGTTTACTGCCTTCATCCCCTCATCACCTATGTCTGGTATTTCTCCCCATGTTATCCTACCTCGCCCCCCGCTGTCCCTTCCTTGGCACCCCCCAACTGACCACAGTGTGTGATGCTCCTCACTCTGTGTCCACATGTTCTCATTGTTCAACACCTGCCTATGAGTGGGAACATGTGGTGTTTGGTTTTCTGTTTTTGTGTCAGTTTGCTGAGAATGATGGTTTCCGGATTCATCCATGTCCCTATGAAGGACACAAACTCATCCTTTTTTTATGGCTGCATAGTATTCCATGGTGTTTATGTGCCACATTTTCTTTATCCACTCTATCATTGATGGACATTTGGGTTGGTTCCAAGTCTTTGCTATTGTAAACAGTGCCACAGTGAACATACATGTGCATGTGACTTTATAATAGAACAATGTATAATTCTTGGCTATATACCCAGTAATGGGATTGCTGAGTCAAACGGTATTTCTATTTCTGGGTCCTTGAGGAATCGCCACACTGTCTTCCACAATGGTTGCACTAATTTACACTCCCACCAACAGTGTAAAAGTGTTCCTATTTCTCCACATCCTCTCCAGCATAATGATCGCCATTCTAACTGGTGTGAGATGGTATCTCAACGTGGTTTTGATTTGCATTTCTCTAATGACCAGTGATGATGAGCATTTTTTCATATGTTTGTTGGTCTCATAAATGTCTTCTTTAGAAAAATGTCTGTTCATATCTTTCACCCACTTTTGAATGGGTTTGTTTGTTTCTTGTAAATTTGCTTTAGTTCTTTGTAGATTCTGGATATTAGCCCTATGTCAGATGGGTAGATTGCATAAATTTTTTCCTATTCTATTGGTTGCTGGTTCACTCTGATGATTGTTTCTTTTGCTGTGCAAAAACTCTTTAGTTTAATTAGATCCTATTTGTCTATTTTGGCTTTTGTTGCCATTGTTTTTGGTGTTTTAGTCATGAAGTCGTTGCCTATGTCTATGCCCTGAATGGTTTTGCCTAGGTTTTCTTCTAGGGTTTTTATGGTGTTAGGTCATATGTTTAGACCTTTAATCCATCTGGAGTTAATTTTAGTGTAAAGTCTAAGGAAGAGGTCCAGTTTCAGCTTTCTGTACATGGCTAGCCAGTTTTCCCAGCACCATTTATTAAACAGGGAATCTTTTTCCCATTGCTTGTCTTTGTGAGGTTTGTCAAAGATCAGATGGTTGTAGATGTGTGGTGTTACTTCTGCGGCCTCTGTTCTGTTCCATTGGTCTACATCTCTGTTTTGGTACCAGTGCCATGCTGTTTTGATTACCGTAGCCTTGTAGTATAGTTTGAATTCAGGTAGCATGATGCCTCCAGCTTTGTTCTTTTTCTTAGCATTGTTTTGGCTATGTGGGCCCTCTTTTGGTTCCATATGAAGTTTAAAGTGTTTTTTTCCAGTTCTGTGAAGAAGGTCAGTGGTTGTTTCAGTAGCTTTAAAAATACTCCTTTACTTTCAGAAATGTATATTAAATAATCAGAAATATTTTAAGAATTTTTAGCAGAGTATGATGTTATATATTGTCAGGAATGAAAACTTTATATGGGTATGTATTTAAAACAGTATAATTTTAAATAAATCTGTTCACAGATTGGTAAGATTAGTACCAGTTATTTTACACACAGCCACTTCCACACCTACCTAAACAGTCGAGCATGACCATAGTCATTGGTTTTTGGAAGAAAAAGTGAACCTTTAGAGGTCTGGCTTGGGGAATAGTGAGAGGTAGTGACCAGTAGATGATGCCAGGTAAGAAAGACTGGGAAAAGGAAGCGTGACATAGAAGAAATATTTCAATAAAGATAAATTTTGCATGATTTGTCATTTTTGCCTAGGATTGAGACAGTAAGTGCCAATAAAAAGTCCATAGTAAGTTACATATGCTTAAATGAATATGACTTTGCTAGTTTTTTTTTTTTTTTTTTTTTTTTTTTTTTTTTTTTTTTTNTTGAGACAGAGTTTTGCCCTTGTTGCCCAGGCTGGAGTACAATGATGCAATCTCTGCTTATTGCAACCTTTGCCTCGTTGGTTCAAGCAATTCTGCCGCAGCCTCCCAAATAGCTGGGACTATAGGCATGTACCATCACATCCCGCTATTTTTTTATATTTAGTAGAGACAGGGGTTTGCCATGTTGGTCAAGCTGGCCTCGAACTCCTGACCTCAGGTAATCTACCCACCTTGGCCTCTCAAAGTGCTGGGATTACAGGCGTGAGCCACCATGCCTGTCTGACTGTGCTAGTTTTTAGACTTCAGCTTGCAGTTCTTCTCAGCACAGATTGGCCCAATCAAGCATTTCTAATTTAGTTTGGGATCAGTCAGTTCCTTCTCACTCTATCACTAACTCCTTCACGTTACTAAGAAGAGAAAAAAACAGAAGAAATGTTCTCTTGTTGTTCATTCCAAAGGTACAGCAAAGAAGAAAATTTAATATAAAAGAATATCCCATAAAACATAAGAAGAAAGCTGGACATGCCTAGGAATGTTGAGCGCTGAAAGTCATGCATCAGTTCTAGGCAGCCAAGAACAATATCATTTGTACTTTGTATAGGACAGGGTAAGGAAGTTGAGAAGACACAGGAGATTGACAGGTCCTGAGTTACATGTTAAGTTACTCTTTTTGACAGCTGTGTGGAGAAAGGATTTTTTTTACTCTCTGAATTTCATTTTACTTTTTATTGTAGTCTGAATTAGGTGACTTAGATACCTGGCAAGAAAATACCAATGCATGGGAAGAAGAAGAAGATGCAGCCTGGCAAGCAGAAGAAGTTCTGAGGTATTTGAGTGGCATTTGTATTGCAGCCTGAGTAGAAGAACTAGATTTCTTCCCTACTGTGTTTAAAGTCAAGGGAGCCTATTCTGCCAAATATTATATTTTTCTTCATTTGATTCTTAGATAATATGGACTTTTTTTGTATTTCAGACTGCAGATACTATTTTATATGATTAAAACTTCACAGAAACCAAGAATTTTAAGCACTATAGGAACAAAAAGCTTTATTAATGGCAAATGAAATGTTATATATGCATATATATAAAAGGTTTTGTGTATGTATGTTTTATATATTGGGTTATATACATATATATGTGATACATACCATATTGCAAGCTTGATATGTCCTACTGTGAAATGTAGGCCACCACTATATATTCCTCTAGGTCAGAAGTTACAGCTTTTATTTCCATTTCCTCATGGTCTAGCATAGCGCCCAGCATTGCACATTCAAATGAAAATAACTTATGTGACACTCCGCATTTGTACATATATCTTAAATGATGTCCATGAAAGCCCTATGTGTTAGATAATATGAGCCACAAACTACCCATTCTACAAAAAATACTATTCTGGAAGTTTTAATCTTCATTTTTATTGGTTGCTCTTTTTTGTGTGTGAGCAATAAACATAATTCTTAATACTGCTATATTAAGTCAAAGAGTAAAGAGAAGATTTAAGAGAGAGCTCGTGACTGTGATTACTGATTTTAAAAACTCATTTAAATGTATCTAAATTATGTATATATTTTTAAAATCATATCATAAAATTCAGAAATATCAATTTTTTTATTTTAAAGTTGATTGTTTTTACCATAGGAATAGCAAACAACTTATTCTTTATCTGACTGTCAGCAAAAAAAACCTGATTTCATTTTTGTGTTTTCCTTTTTTGTCTTTGTCAATAAATTACAGTTACCTTGAACAGCCAGCAGAGGGTGCATATCAAGTCCTTTTTTTTTTTTTTCCTGCTGGTTAGGGGATGTGACATTTCAAAATTCAGCCAATAAAATTGTGAGACTTTTTAATATTTAGTTTTTATTTGGTCAGGATAACTTTTATAAAGGAAATATTTTTTAAATTGTGAACTATAACACTTAGGATGTTGCATGGATCATCAAAAAAGATAAGTCATCTTTTTAAACTTCTGTATTATTTTAAAAATAAATAATAGATACAGATGTCTGAGTATTTTAGGACATTTCGGGAATTCTAGTAATTATTAGTGCCATTAACCACAAAGGCAAAGGAAGGGGCTGTCCTTTTCAAATCCAGTAATCTCACTATAGAGTTCATGCCATAAGTTCACAAGTATCTTAACATTGTACAAAAACCTTTTCTTTTTCATTCCATCATCTTACCCGCTAAACAGAACAAAACAAATGAAAAAATGTAGTTAAAGACTTAATGTTTACCCTTAAAGGACAGCTTGCAAGAGTGAGATTGTTTATCCATAATAGACATGCTTCATGCTGCAAGTATATAGATAGAGCCAAAGAGAGATGGAGACAGCCATATATTGTTACTGACTCTGAGTGGACACTGAGCATTTTAAAAGTGTATCCACATATCCTATCTTCTAACTCTGAGCTTTCTTTCTATTGCCACTATAAAGTACTGCCAGTACTGTGATCAGTATTGCTAAGGAAGATGATTCCAGTACTTTAATAATTCCCAGCATGAAACTGGATAGGTAAAATATATTTTTGTCTGTAGCTATCTCTTAAGTTGTCTCTTTTGCCAGGAACTTTAGTTTCTGATCCAGATTCAGTATCCCTTTCCAAAATGCTTGGGACCAGAGTGTTTCAGATTTTGGAATTTTTTGAGAGTTTAGAATATTTGTGTTATACTGCTGGTTGATCATCCCAGATCTGAAAGTCTAAAATCTGAAATGCTCCACTGAGAATTTCCTTTGAGCATCATGTAGGCACTCAAAAAGTTTCAGAGTTTGGAGCATTTCAGATTTCAGATTTTTGTGTTTGTGATCCTCAGCCCTTATATTATTTTAGCTAGTAACCAGGTCAAAGCTTCATTATCTTACTTGTTTATAACCTAGCTAGCCCTTTATAGTTTTTTTTTTTTCTACCTCTCTTTTTCTTCTGTTTGACATTTTTTAGTTTAGATAATTAGTTTTTCTTGAAAGTGATCAGAGTGATAAAAAATAGATTTTTAAAAACTATTCTTCAGAAATTAATTGATAACAAAAGTCAAAATATTGCCAAAAATAGTTTTTTTACTTTCTTGAGTTTTGGTCATCCATAACTCTGCCTGCTCCTGTTTATCATTATGATTGAGAACTGTACATACATTTCACTCATTGTAGTCAGCATTGAGCTGTCCCAGACATAGATAATCCACTCTGGATTTTTCTTTATTTAACCTAATGTTGCCTATTCCATGTCCAGTTGTGACCTGTAGCTTCCTTCCTCAACATTGCATACCTGAATGATTTTCTCACACCCTAACCCTTCAGATCCAGGACCAACTTACGTTCACTCTGCTCTCTTCCTGTTTCATCATCCCACTCCTACCTCCACTCCCTACATAAATCAGTCAATAAAGATGAAGTGCGTCTGGGTCAGCGGAGTTATGGAAAGTGTAAGGAAGAGATACGTATTTCACAGTATAATTAGTAAATACCTACCACTCTCTTTTTTTAAAACTTTTAAGTTTAGGGGTGCAAGTGGAGGATGTGCAGGTTTGTTACTTAGGTAAATGTGTCAAGGGGGTTTGTCATACAGATTATTTCATCAGCCAGGCATTAAACCTGATATTCATTAGTTATTTTTCCCGATCCTCTCTCTTCGTCTAATCTCCACACTTCCAGTAGGCCCAGTTTGCATTGTTCTCCTCTATGTGTCCATGTGTTCTTATCATTTAGCTCCCACTTATAAGTGAGAACATGTGATATTTGGTTAAATACCCACCACTCTTCTACTTGGTAGAGCTAGTCACATATTAATCTTGAAATTTGTTTTTAGCTTCTAGGTAGAAGGTGTGTCTTAAGTTTTCATTTTCTTTTTGGAGTGTATGTTTTGTTCAGCTGTGTTCATCATGCACTTTACAAACTGGCTGTTTATAGCTACTATAATAACAGGAGATTATCAAGCTCAATATCAAGCTTTTCTGAACAGTATCCTCAGAAAATGATGTGGTTCAGTTGATGTACTGTTTTATGAAATGGAGATAATCTGAATAAGAGGTGTCAAAAAATGTGTGTTCGTATCCCTGTACCTAATCCTATGACTTTGGGCAAGTCACTTAGCGTTTATGCCTCATTTTACTTATTTGTTAAATAGAGATAATAATTTATTCTATTTCACAAATCATGTTCTAAGGACTGAGAGAAATACTGTTTTTGAAAATATTTGGAATTTTTATATTAGAAGATTTCAAGACTTTCAGCGTTTTATTTGGTGATAGTAAAAAGGCACTGCTATTTCTTTCGAGAATTTATTTGCCATTATTTTCTAAAAGTAAAAATATATGTTTCTTTTCAGGCAGCAGAAAATAGCAGACAGAGAAAAGAGAGCAGCAGAACAACAAAGGAAGAAAATGGAAAAGGAAGCACAGCGGCTAATGAAGAAGGAACAAAACAAAATTGGTGTGAAACTTTCATAACACATGTTCTTCAAATTTTATCATGCCAGTAGGAGAAATCTCAGCTCCACAACCCAAGCAACATTTGTATGGATTTAAGAGTATTTTAAGAATATACACTGCTTGATTTTAATACATTCATCAGGCCATCCAGGACACCAGGATTCTCCCAAATTACCTTGAACTCTTAGTGATTGAGACTCAAAAAAACAAAAAAGACTTGAGACAATATATTCTTCAACATGCTCCAAATATAAGACATTTGTTTGCTGTACAGAAAGTATCAAAAATGGAATATTTCAGTACCTCTCAAGCTAGTATTTCTAGCTAAATAAATGGTGTATATAATTTTATGGTGGAAAAGAACTGTGCTATCTGTTATGATTTCCTTCAGTGTGCATAATGATAAAATAATTTTAATATTCTTTTGTTTCCATGGTACCTGACCTAAATTAGACAAATTGTAGGGCTTTAACTTTATTTGTCTGGTCAAAATTGGTGTTGACATATATTTCCTCTAATTTGAACTGGTATTGTTTACTTTTATATAACATTAAGGGATTTGGTGATTTTCATTTCATGAAAACGACATTAAATGCAATAATTTTATTTATCATAAAGATTTTGCACATCATTGTTTTCTTTTGGATGGTGTTGTAATGTCATACATACTTGTAATTTATATCGCATGTATAAACATTGAAAATCAACTAAAATGACATTTGTTTTACATTATAACTTGTGAGTTTTAAGAACTAGTATTAATAGTTTTTTCCTTTCATTATAGATTTTAAGATGTTGTGGTATCCTTGAGTACCTTAGTTCTTCCTCCCTCCAAAAAGCCATTAATTTACAAATGCATAAAGCCATCAGGTCAAATATTTCAAAGCATTTAAATGATTTTGGTATTAGTTTGGTATGTCTGACATTATGCAGGTTACCTGTGTTATTGGCTAAGATAATGTTATTGATTCATTAAATTATAAACAAAGGTAGGAATAATAATCTTTTATTTATGGCGTTGTTTGGCTCCAAAACAGTCTTAAGGAAATAGTTAAATACTGTGTTTATAGGGGAAGAAAATGTAGACTTGATAGTTTAAAATCCCATTAACCTTTTCACCACAACTGAATTGCATCCAGCCTGATTTTCCTATCATCTTAGAATTTTTAAAGACTTTCTTTTTTTTTTTTTTTTTTAATTTATTTTACTTTAGGTACATACTATATCTGGCATTTCTCCCCATGTTATCCCTCACCACCCTTCTCTCCCTCCCCATCCCCCATTGTCTCCCCGCAATGGCCCCCTGTGTGTGATGCTCCTCTCCTTGAGTCCACATGTTCTCGTTGTTCAACACCCACCTATGAGGAGAACATACGGTGCCTGGCTTTCTGTTCTTGGGTCAGTTTGCTGAGAATCATGGTTTCCAGATTCATCCAAGTCCCTACAAAGGACACGAACTCATTGTTTTTTATGGCTGTGTAGTATTCCATGGTGTATATGTACCACATTTTCTTTGTCCAGTCTATCATTGATGGGTATTTGGGTTGATTCCAGGTCTTTGCTATTGTACACAGGGCTGCAATGAACATACATGTGCATGTGTCTTTATAGTAGAACAATTTATAGCTCTTTGGGCATATACCCAATAGTGGGATTGCTGGGTCAAATGGAATTTCTATTTCCAGATCCTTGAGAAATCGCCACACTGTCTTCCACAATGGTTGAACTAATTTACACCCCCACCAACTGTGTAAGAGTGTTCCTATTTCTCCACATCCTCTCTAGCATCTGTTGTCTCCAGATTTTTTAATGATCGCCTTTCTAACAGGTGTGAGATGATATCTCAGTGTGGTTTTGATTTGCATTCCTCTAATGACCAGTGATGATGACCATTTTTTCATATGTTTGTTCACCTCATATATGTCCTCTTTTGAAAAATGTCTGTTCATATCCTTCGCCCACTTTTGAATGGGGTTGTTTGTTTTTTTCTTGTAAATCTGTTTTAGTTTTTTGTAGATTCTGGATATTAGCCCTTTGTCAGATGGGTAGATTGCAAAATTTTTTCTCATTCTATTGGTTGCCAATGCACTCTAATGATGGTTTCTTTTGCTGTACAGAAGCTCTGGAGTTTAATTAAATCCCATTTGTCTATCCTGGCTTTTATTGCCATTGCTTTTGGTGTTTTGGTCATAAAGTCCTTGCCTATGCCTATGTCCTGGATAGCTTTGCATATGTTTTTTCTGGTGTTTTTATGGTGTTAGGTTTTATGTTTAAATCTTTGATACATCTGGAGTTAATTTTAGTGTAAGGTGACAGGTAGGGGTCCAGTTTCTGCTTTCTGCACATTGCTAGTCAGTTTTCCCAACACCATTTATTAAACATGGAGTCCTTTCCCCATTGCTTGTTTTTGCTGGGTTTGTCAAAGATCAGATGGTTGTAGATGTGTGGTGTTTCTTCTGCGGTCTCTGTTCTGTTCCATTGGTCTATGTCTCTGTTTTGGTACCAGTACCATGCTGTTTTGATTACTGTAGCCTTGTAGTATAGTTTGAAGTCTGGCAATGTGATGCCTCCAGCTTTGTTCTTTTTGCTTAGGATTGTCTTGGTTATGTGGGATCTTTTGTGATTCCATATGAAGTTTAAGTGTTTTTTTCCAGTTCTGTGAAGAAGGTCATTGGTAGCTTGATGGGGATAGCATTGAATCTATAGATTACTTTGAGCAGTATGGCCATTTTCACAATGTTGATTCTTCCTAACCATGAGCATGGAATGTTTCTCCATCTGTTTGTGTCCTCTCTTATTTCATTGAGCAATGGTTTGTTGTTCTCCTTGAAGAGGTCCTTTACATCCTTTGTTAGTTGTATTCCTGGGTATTTTATTCTCTTTGTAGCAATTGTGAATGGGAATTCGCTTTTGATTTGGCTCTCTGTTTGTCTGTTATTGGTGTATAGGAATGCTTGTGATTTTTGCACATTGATTTTGTATCCTGAGACTTTGCTGAAGTTGCTTATCAGTTTGAGAAGATTTGGGGCTGAGACGATGGGGTCTTCTAGATATACAATCATGTCGTCTGCAAATAGAGACAGTTTGACTTCCTCCTTTCCTAATCAAATACCCTTTATTTCTTTTTCTTGCCTGATTGCTCTGGCTAGAACTTCCAATACTAGGTTGAATAGGAGTGGTGAGAGAGGGCATCCTTATCTAGGGCCTGACTTCAAAGGGAATTCTTCCAGCTTTTGCCTGTTCAGTATGATATTGATGGTAGGTTTGTCATATATAGCTTTTATCATTTTATGATACGTTCCATCAATACCTAGTTTATTGAGAGTTTTTAGTATGAAGGGCTGTTGAATTTTATTGAAGACCTTCTCTGCATCTATTGAGATAATCATGTGGTTTTTGTCTTTGGTTCCATTGATGTGATGGATTACATTTATGGATTTGCTTATGTTGAACCAGCCTTGTATCCCCGAGATGAAGCCTACTTGGTCGTGATGGATAAGCTCCTTGATGTGCTGTTGCAATCTGTTTGCCAGTATTTTATTGAAGATTTTTGCATCGGTGTTCATCATGGATATTGGCCTGAAATTTCCTTTTTAGTTGAGTCTCTGCCTGGTTTTGGTATCAGGATGATGTTGGTCTCATAAAATGAGTTAGGGAGGATTCCCTCCTTTTGTATTGTTTGATACAGTTTCAGAAGGAATGGAACCAGCTCCTCTTTGTACGTCTGGTAGAATTCAGCTGTGAACCCGTCTGGACCTGGACTTTTTTTGGTTGGTAGGCTATCGATTGCTGCCTCTACTTCAGTCCTTGTTATTGATCTATTCAGGGTTTTAGCTTCCTCCTGGTTTAGTTTTGGTAGAGTGCAAGTGGCTAGGAATTTATCCATTTCTTCCTGGTTTACTGGTTTATGTGAGTAGAGCTGTTTGTAGTAATCTCTGATGGTAGTTTGTATCTCCGTGGAATCAGTGGCGATATCCCCTTTATCGTTTTTTATTGCATCTATTTGATTCTTCTCCCTTTTCTTTTTTATTAATCTGGCTACTGGTCTATTTTGTTGATCTTTTCAAAAAACCAGCTCCTGGATTTATTGATTTTTTGAAGGGTTTTTTGTGTCTCTATCTCCTTCAGATCGGCTCTGATCATAGTTATCTCTTGCTGCTAGCTTTTGAGTTTTTTTGATCTTGCTCCTTTAGTTCTTTCAATTTTGATTATAGGCTGTCGATTTTAGACCTTTCCTCTCTTCTCTGGTGGGCATTTATTGCAATAAATTTCCCTCTCAATACTGCTTTAAAGGTGTCCCAGAGATTCTTGTAAGTTGTGTCTTCATTCTGGTTGGTTTCAAAGAACATCTTTATTTCTGCCTTCATTTCATTGTTTATCCAGTCAACATTCAGAAGCAAGTTGTTCAGTTTCCAAGTGGTTGTGCTGGTTTGAGTGTGTTTCTTGATCCTGAGTTCTAGTTTGATTGTGCTGTGGTCTGACAGACTGTTTGTTATGATTTCGGTACTTTTGCATTTGCTGAGGAGTGATATGTTTCCAATGATGTGGTCAATTTTATAGTAAGTACAATGTGGTGCTGAGAAAAATGTATATTCTGTGGATTTGGGATGGAGCATTCTGTTTATGTCTATTAGACCCACTTGGTCCAGCTCTGCATTCAAGTCCTGCATATCCTTGTTAATTTTCTGTCTCGTTGATCTGTCTAATATTGACAGTGGAGTATTGAAGTTTCCCACTGTTATTGTGTGGGAGCCTAAATCTCGTTTTAGGTCATTGAGAACTTGCTTTATGTATCTGGATGCTCCTGTGTTGGGGGCGTATATATTTAGGATAGTTAGCTCTTCCTGTTGGATTGATCCTTTTACCAATATTTAATGGCCTTCTTTGTCTCTTTTGATCTTTGTTGGTTTGAAAGACTTACTTTCTTAAGTTATTGCCTAGAATTGACACTATGTGAGACTTTAAAATGTCATAGATACTCCATAGGCCAAACATTGCTAATATATTTTTCTTAAAGTGATATTTCATAAAAAAAATCATGAGTTATGCAATGAGAACCCTTTAAGCCCTTAGCCCAAGCTTCCAGGCTAAATGTGATTACAGAATAAGATGAAATTTAACTTTGGTACAGAGCATTTTATAGCCCCAAATTATATTTCCAGTTATATTCATTAGCATTTCTACTAATAAACTCCCAACTTAAATAGAATTGAGCTCAAAGTTTTAATAATGTATTCCCTTCCTTCTGTCTATATTTAGTTATTATGGGAATACAACATGGCTTCTCTAAATTTGGGGTTCTTAAAGGATCACCTCCTTTAGCTCAATTACTTGTATTGCTTTTCCCCAGTAGCTGAAAAGTAGTTAAGTTTGCTTTGATCGTGATTTTCAGGTGTGTGAGGTTTTTTTGTTGTTGGTTGGCTTTTTGGTTTTTGATTATTTAGAAATAAAGACTGATTCGAAATTATAGTTAGTATGATTAATTAGGAAGAAACAGATTTTTTCTTGTAGAACAGATAATTCTGGAATTTAGTTTACGTCTATTGACATGTAAACTAAATTCCTGTATTAAGTTGGGTATACTGTGGTCCCAAAAGTAGTCACTGAGTTAAATGCG